TTCCATCCCCAAAATATCAAGTAACAAATGACACTTCTCTGTGATTTGTTTTCATGGTAAATTGCAGAATTTTTACTCTCTTTACCTAAACACAGACTTTTCTATCCGATTAAAAGCCACACAACTACATATGGATTATGCTTATTTTCATCATTATGTGCTGTTGATTTGAAACCAACTCATAGCTATCATTTCAGTGTGTTTTCCGAGAGTAACTCCCATTGCCTGTCTTTCTCCCTGCAAGCAAGTAGTGAATGACTCCTTATGTCTGAGCCACCAGTGTTCAACAATGAAAACTCGTTTGGTTGATATTAGATATGTTGTTGTTGTTGTTATATGCTGTTGAGTCACCAGCTACTCATAGTGACCCTATATACAACATCTCTAAAGCCTGCCCTGCCGTGAGCCAGTCTCATTGACTCTGACACCTCTATTCCCATTGCTTCAGTTACTGTATCAATCCATCTCATCTGGGGTCTTCTTCTGCTCCACTGTCCCTCTACCCTTCTGAGCATGATGTCCTTCTACAATGACCCATCCTTCCTAACCATGTACCCAAAGTATGTGAAATGAAGCTTCAAAATACTAGCCTCCGAGGAAAAACTTGGTTTCATCCTCTCTAAGACAGACCTGTTTTTGTTATTGGCAGTCCACAGTATGTTGAAGACTCTTCTCCAACAAAATAATTGAAAGGCATCAATTCCTTTGCCATCCTTAGTCATTGTCCAGCTCTCTGATGCATAGCAAGTAATTGCGAAGACCATGGCCTGGATCAAGAGTACCTTTATATCCAGAGTGACATTATTGCTTCTCAATACTCTGGAGAGGTCCCTGACAGATTTTCCCAGTGCAGATTGTGTTTTGATTTCCTGACTGCTTGTGCCAAGAGTGTTGACTGTGGAGCTGAGCAAGCTGTAACAACCTCAATTGAGGTTAACAACCTCAATCTCTTCTTTATCTGTCATGGTGATGCCAAATGGCCCAGTGGTGAGAATCTTTGTCTTCTTGGAGTTGAGCTTCAATCCATATTGAAAACTATAGTCCTTGACCTTCTGTAGCAAGCATTCAGGTTCTCCTCACAAGCGAGATTGTGTCATCTGCATAACGCAGATTGATGATGAGTCTTTGCCCAATCCTGATGCCACATTCCTCCTCAAAGTCCAGCCTCCCAAATGATCTATTTTTACAAAGTCTAAATAATACTCATGGTTACAGAAGATCTTATTTGGAGATACTACTCAAGACACATGGCTTCAGATTTTCACATTTTTATATCTTGAATATCTGAGCCTTTTTTAAAAAAAGTAATATTATTTACTCATCCCTTCTAATAAAGAGTGTGGAAATTATCAAATAATATCATTAGTATCACATGGAAGCAAAGTTCTGCTGAAAATTATCTGGAAATGACTGGAGCAGCACATCAATAGAGAACTGCCTGATCTTCAGGTGGGGCTTAGAAGAGGTTGTGGTACTAGAGTAATTATAGCTAGTGTTAGATGGATCTTGGCTGAAAGTAGAGTGTACCAGAAGAATATCTATCTGTGTTTCATTGGCTGTGCAAAGGCATTTGAGTGTATTGGATCTGAGAAGAGTGGGAATCCCAGAATACTTGATTATGTTATGCAAAACTTATACCTATACCTGGAGGCAGTTGTCAGAGCAAGGAAATGCTATATGTTTTAAAATTGGGAAGGGTATATGCCAGGGATGTGTCCTATCTCCATACCTTTTCAATCTATATGCAGAATCAGGAGATTGGGCTCTATGAGGAGGAATGTGGCATCAGGATTGGAGGAAGACTCATCAACAACCTGTTTTATGCAGATGACTCAACCCTGCTTGCTGAAACTGAAGAGAATCTGAAGCACTTGCTGCAGAAAGTCAAAGACTACGGCCACAGTATAGATTGAAACTCAACATGAAGAAAATAAAGATTCTCACCACTGGGCCTATTAGCAGCATCATGGTAGACAATGAAGAGATTGAAATTGTTAACAACTTTAGTTTACTTGACTTTACAGTCAACACTCTTGGTACCAGCAGCCAGGAAAGCAAACGACAAGTTGCATTGGGAAAGTATGCTGTCAGGGACATCTACAGAGTACTGAAGAGCAACCGTGTCACTGTGGAGTCTAAGGTGCACCTGATGCAGGCCATGGTCTTTGCAATTATGTACTGTGCATCAGATAATTGGAAAATGGCTAGGGATGATAGAAAGAGAATTTATACCATTGAGCTGTGGTGTTGGAGAATAGTATTGAATATACTGTGGACTGCTAAGAGAACAAACAGGTTTGTGCTAGAGAGGGTGAAAACAGGCTACACCTTGAAGGCAGGGATTTTGAAGCTCTGTCTGACATACTTTGGGCATGTTCCAAGGAGGTATCAGCCCATAGAGAAAGACATGCTTGAGTGGGTGGAGGATCAGCACAAGAGCAGAAGACCATTGATGAGATGGATTGGCTCTGTGACTGGGGTAATCAGGGTAGGTGTATCGGAGACAGTAAAGTTGGCTCGTATAGAGCATGGTTAAGAGCTGTTGTACATACAGTAACTATGAGTTGCAGGTGACTTGACAGCTATTAAAACAACAAATTCTAATACAACTTGTTTCTTTTCAGTTGGAAGAATATGTATGTGTAAATGCTTTTTAGTTCTCAGTATATGATAATCCTATTACTAAATCTTTTATATGTTATTTCTTCTAAAATAATTTTATGAATAATTTCTTAAACTGAGATGAATGAAAAATGTAAACTCTAGAGAGATTAAAAGAGTTGTTTAACACCACCGAGGCAGGAGTTAACAGTTTTGAGTCTCATGGACTGCCAAGTGAACAAACAAATCTTACTTTAGAAAATGTAGTGAGGGTGCTCCTTATAGTTGAGGATGGTGAGACTTCATATCACATACTTTGGATCTATTTTCACGAGATACCAGTCTTTAGAAAAAGACATCAGGCTTGGAAAGGTAGAAGACCAGTGATAAGAAACCAGACCCTCAAGGAGATGAATTGGCAACATGACTTCAAATGAGTATAAGAATGATTGCGATTATTTGGATTGTGTGTGATCAGGCAAGGGTTTGAGTCTAGAATCTTGCTCTGTCATATTTTAGGAAGTTTACTGCTTTCTTACATAGAATATCTGAAATGTCCAGGGTAAAAGTTTGATAATTGTAACATGAGTTTGACTTTAGTATTTTTGCATACAGGTAATGAATCTAACATGGACAAGACCAAGAAATCAATAACCAACAGTGAAATTCTTTCAATTTCAAAAAAAATTACTATGCTGGAAATGAAGGAATTGAATGAAAGACAGCGAGCTGAACATTCTCAGAAAATGTATGAACACTTAAGGACTTCATTAAAACAAATAGAAGAACGTAATTTTGAATTGGAAACCAAATTTGCTGAGGTTTGATATTATAATATTCATCCAATTAGTGAGTAAAGAATTTGTCTTAGTAGACAATATTGTTATTGTTGTTGATTGCCTTCGAGTCAAGTGCAACTCAGCAACCCTATGAACAAAAGACCTGAAACTCCTCTACAACTATTGATACTTATCAAAGTTCATAGTTTCTGGAGGCATGTTGTTTAGACAATACATTGTTTAAAAAGTTGATTTTATCTCTGAAATTGCATACTCACATAGTGCCTACAGTTTATGTAAAAAAAGAAATGAATTATGTTTTTGTTAAATATGAAATATTTATTAACAAACATTCCTGTGAGTGAGTTCTTGGTTTCACCTACTTTAAACCATTCTATTTAATGTGAAAAAGGTATTATTTCTTTGATAATAGAATTGCCTTCCATTACCACCATTAATTCATTGAGTTCTGGTAATGCAGTGTCAAAGTATATGATTACTAATACAAATGCTGGCAGTTTGAACTCATCAGTCATTCTGTGTAAGACAAATGAAGAAATCTGCTTGTATAAATACTTAGCACTTTACGAACCCAGTGGACAGTTCTGCCTTTTCCTACAAAGTTGCTTTAAGTCAGAACAGACTTAATTATAATCATTCTGGTTTTGATTCTTATATATTAGGCAATATATGGGGAATGGGACAATAGCAAAAACAAAATAGATAACCTGCCCTCAGATATTTTATAGTATAATTGAAAGTTCTAGACTTTATGAATATGATCAGAATCATTAAACTTCTTTCTAATAAATATTATTTGTAAATATTCAGCAACTTACAGCAAAGTAGCTCATTTATGACACTATTTTCTTCCTGGAGAAATAATATATTTTATGAACCATATATAATCTTTATTTATTTTAAATTTATATTAATAAGGTTTTATTTCATTTGAAATTATTTGGAGATAGTATAATATAATTGCAGCAAAATATAATGAATATACTGCATTCTAACCAAGTTGAGAACATCAGAGTTTCAGATATTACTAAATAATGAATAGCATAGTGGAAATTACGGTTGGTGGCTTGAGATGTAATTAGAGTTTCTAAAATTGGTTCCTGCCTCTTTTCCCACCTTAGTCACTAACTGAACCACAAAATATAGCTACTGTATTCTGTGTGTTAAATTACAAGAAAAATGTCATCACTGTTATGCATCTGAACTTTTCCTTTATGTTACTTTTCCATAGCTTACTAAAATCAATATGGATGCACAGAAGGTGGAACAGATGCTAAGAGATGAATTAGCTGATAGTGTGAGCAAAGCAGTAAGTGATGCTGATAGGCAGCGTATTCTAGAATTAGAGAAGAATGAAATGGAACTAAAAGTTGAAGTGTCTAAGTAAGTGCATATGCTAAGTATATAGCTGATTTATATATGTATGTGTATATATGTATGTATTTGCTCATATTTACTTTTAAGAAACCTAATTATAAATCATAAGTACAATAGTCTTAGTCTTAGTATTATTTATTTGAATACGAATACGCTGTTATTTAACAAATTATAAAATGTGGAATTATTATGAACTCTCAAGATTTACATTTTTTGCAGAAGTTGAATAGTATTATGAAAGACCATGAATTTGAAATCAAGACCTTAGGAGGCTTAATTCCTTCGTATACTGATTATGTGTGTGTTTGCAACAATCATTTGATTTAGTTAAATTTCTGTTTCTTCTTTTTAGTAAGGAAATAATAGTGCTTCAATCTCAAGTGGCTTAGCATTTAACCAAAAAGTTGTCTATTATACCTAGCAGCTGGCTAGTGGGAGAAAGATGTGTGTCTACCAGCCCCCATAAATATTATACCTTTGAAAACATGTTAAGACAGTTTTACTTTATCTTACTATGAAGCTCTGGTGACCTATTGGGTATTGAGTTGTGTTGCCAGCTCAAGGGTGGGAAGTTTGAATCCACTAGCTGCTACGAGATGAGCACTCCTTCCATGTGATTTTCAGCCCACTGAAAGGTCAGATAAGAGTCACTTCTGACTTAGTGGCAACAAATTTGAGTTTGACAACGTTTCTATGGTTGAAATAAAATTTTGGGGAAGAGATTAAGAGTGCCTCTTGTACCTATTTTATAAAGTTATTATAAAGCATAATAAAATTTCAATATTTAGTTAAATTTATATTTTATGGAGGATCTGTTGTGGTGATCTAATCAGTAGTGAGTTGCATTACCAGCGTAGAAGTGGCAGTTCAGGTCCACCAGCTGTTCTAAGGGAGAGAGATGGTCATTCACTCCCACAAGATTTCCAGCCTCAAAAACTCAATGAAGGATTAGCTATAAGTCAGTTCAACTCAATTCCAGTGAGTTTGAATTCTTCTTGACCATGTACTGCCAATGCTCATGGAAGCACTGGTCAGGATGTCAAAATATTTATTGCATTGGGCAAATCTGCTGTCTCTTTAAAATACTCAAGAATAAGGGTGTCACTTTGAGATTTAAAATACATGATCCAGCCTATTATTGTTGGTAGATGCCATCAAGTCAACTGTTGGTCATAGTGACCCTATGAACAATGAATATGAACTTTGCCCTATCTTGTGGCATACTCATCATATCTGATATACTTGAACCCAAGAGATTTAGACTGTAGACAGCTAAAATTTGCTTGGTTTTACAGTCAACACTCATGGTACCAGCAGCCAGGAAATTTAAAAACAGATTGCACTGGGAAAGTCTGCTCTCAGAGATCTCTCCAAGGTACTGAGGAGCAATGATGTCAGTCTGGAGA